ATAGTACTGTGTAGTTTTTGCCTGCATTAATTAGTTACAGGTGGCATCTCTTTATTTCAGCCGGTAGGCTTGCGTAGGTAAATGGATGAGTGCTTACCTATTCTGTCTTGCAAATAGTTGTTGCTACTACGTACGATGGGAGCTTCCATCTTTAATCTTAAGACACTTAAACGTACGCGCCATCTCGTGGCAACTTTTATAACGATCCCAACGAACATTTCTTTGAGAAGGTCCCTGATACCATCCCTGTGCCTTCCACTGTTTGGGCGCGTATGTGAACACATTTGGGACTAACAGGGTTTACTAGAATCCCACCACTCCACCACAGAGTCACCGCAGTAGATGTTAGATGAGCGCTGTCGCTCCGCGGCACTTAATTGTTTATCAATGTTTGGATATATAACGTAAGGAACCAACATTTGATTAAAGTTTTAGACAATTATTTTTACTCGCCAACATGGGCGAGTCAGCTTTAGCTTTTACTCTCCCGATATTATTTTCAGTCGACATTGGCGAGCGGGCGAGTGCCAAACTCGTTCGCTGTACAATGAATGTATCAAACGATACAGTAATTGTTTATTCACTTTAATAGTATATTGGAACGTGGAAACTTCAAAGAAAATTACCGTAAAATGGGACCAAAATATTCAATGGTTCGTCAGACCATTGACTTTGAAAATCTGATGGTCCTCCTGATTATTTGATGGCCCTTGACCGTCAGACCAACGCTTATTGTGATCCCTACTGTTAGCGTTAGTTTCTGTGCATGTAGTGATGTAGTCATACCGTCATTACGTCATTTAATTCGCCATAAAAACTGAGGATGTGGGGGCAATAACACTAATAGCCGTATCAGATCAAGGGGCTACAAAGCACATATCTAGAGATGTATAACACGTAACTCTCCTTCAATCCACAATACGTGGCCGCACATCGAGCGTCATTGTTACTTTCGCTTATAGGGTCTATGTCCCCCAGGGTACTGCCGGAACGTACCCTTGGTACGGTCCAGTATACCGGAACGTACCCTGGTAACTATCTGATATGGTTAGGCTTAGGGTTAGCGTTAGGGTTAGGGAGTAGGCGTAGGCTACTCCCTAGACTCGTTAGTGGAGTAGGCGAGGTACGGTCCGGCATATTAGATAGTACCAGGGTACGTTCCGGCAGTACACTGGGGGACATAGACCCTCTCAGAGTTACTATCGTCACACGCTATCTTCAGAGGATCATAAGTTTAGTTTCGTTGTCTCCGTCATTCCGTATTGTAATTCTCTCCCTTCCTCTTTAGTTGGTAACTTGAGGCATTTTCCACTGCGATCCACAGTGTCTCTTTTCATCTTCGATATAGTCTTCCGGACCTTGCGAAGACTAATATTTACGACGTTACATAGTCGTGTGATTTCTAGTCGGCACGATGACTCTCCCTGGGATAACAGTGCAACCGGTGGCAGCGTAGACACGTCAGAGTGGCTACTCAACCATGTTACGCTTGCTCAGCCCATGTTGGCGTGCAGGCTACATGAATAGTTTACACGCACGCGCCACCTGTCGTGCTTCTGTTACGCTGCGATTGGGGTTACGTTTTTGTTAGTGTTGAAGTTAGGGTAAGTGTAAGTGTTAGAGTTAGGGTAAGGGTATAAGTGTTATAGTTAGGGTAAGGGTAAGTGTTAGAGTTAGGGTAAGGGATAGAGCTATTGTTATGCTGTGATTAGGGTTACAATTCGGTTGGGGTTAGTGTTAGAGTTACGGTAAGAGTAAGTGTTAGAGTTATGGCCCAGTCACACATACACGACGCACGGCCCGCGCACTGAAAAATCAGCAATTTTGGCCAATGCGTTGTCGTTCGCTGGGTGTGCGTCAGCATTCGTTACTCGTTCGTCGAGCGCGCTGGACCAACGCTATGCATTCGTTGTCATTCGCTCGTGCGCGGCGTGTGCACGTACACGTGCGTGCATGCGTGCATGCATACGTGTGCACGTACACGTGCG